TTATTAAAAATCTGCTGAATGCTTGCTGGACTTGCAAGGATGCCTCTTGAAAGTAGTACTACTGCTGAGCTGTCAGGAGCAGGGGTTGCTTCAGTAGTAGAGTGTGTTCTATTCAACTCTGACTGCAAGGTACAGGCAGAAGTGAATAAAACTCCTGAAAGGAGCACATAGGATTCAAAAATGTGGTTACTGGTGTGATGTATAAAAAGCACAATGAGAAGCTTTTCTGAAAGTATTGCTAAGAAGACTGAAATCAGCAATGCTGTAAGGTTTGTGAGAGGACAATTTGGTGAGATTAACAGCCCCATTTCCTGTCCAAATAGGTTCAGATAAATTCATGCGACTACTGAATAATTATGCACTGCTTATCTGACTGAACTTCCAGTCCTAAAGATTCAGCATTTCTGGAAGGTTTGCTCAGCTATGGAAACCTTTAGTGGGACATTTTAACTGCAAGAGCACAGGCAACATCAGCTGATAAAATCTGACATTAGCATGTCTCTAGTACCACATAAATATTTTCTTCCTGGGGCCTCAGTTTTTAACACTTTCTCCCTGCTAGGGGATTGATCTTGTTCCCATATATGAAACAGGGACTTATTAATGAGATACTATGGAATGGTAGTTTAGGATCACTGATGCACATGGCCTTACTTTATTACAGTGAGAAAATTACATTATGCCTATTTGTAAAAATGAAGAACAGCTTTAGTTCCATGCTTGCTACAGAATGCATGTGATAAACAATGCTCTGTCCAAAGTGAAGCACACTAAATTTTGTTTTAATTGAGGCAAATATCATGCCCCTGTTTAGTGCAATTGAACGTATTGCCATTAACAAATGACTTGAATTTTCTTTCACATTTACGCTGCTTGTAGAACAATATTATCTTTTAATATGTTGCTATCTATCTTGGAGGTCTTTCCATTCTTAGTATAGGCTGAAATTTGTACAATAAATTGCTGTCTATTGAATCTTTAAGTGTCGTGACATTAAAACGGAGGTAAAATTTAACTGTCATGTTCTTTTTCATTTTTTTTCCCATCACTTCTGTACCTGACATTGATACCTGCTCAGAGCTCTGAAGCACCCATTTCCCTCTGTATGTAGTTATATAGCTCTTGATTCTTTAGCTAGGTTGTTGACTAGGAGATGCACATCTGCAAGCCCATAATACCTGGCAAAGAGAAAACGTGGATATCTAAGTGCTGCTACACCTGAGCTATGCCTGAGTCCTCCTGTTCTCTCTCCCAGGCCACATTCTTCAATTCCATTTTGTTCTTCCTGTCTTCCTCCATCAGCTTTTCTGAGTCTTACTCATTTCTTTCCACATACCCTTGCCACCCTCTTGTTCACCTTTATAGCCCATCTTAAAGCTGCTTGTGGCAAGTGCAGCTCTGCCACTTGCCAGAATGCAAATTCCTGCCTGCTTTGTGCAAGGACAGCAATATTGGGCAAGTATCCAGGCAGAGGAATCATCAACAGGTAAAATTAAAGGTGCAGGAAACCTTGAATCAGGAAACCAGCTGTAAAACACCCATTAAGATCACTGAGACCCGGGGACACTTGGTCCCCCCGGCACGCCAGAACCTATATATGTCTGTAACTTAAGGTACAGAGTTTATTTCATTAATATAAAAAATACCAGTATTTTTTGCATTGAGATTACACTGATGATTATGTTATCCAAAGTATGTTTTATCTATTATTTAAGGTTAATATATGTATTAGGGTAGAAGCTGGATGACTCTGTATGGATTTGCAGTATTTCAAAACAGAAGAGATGAATTGTTTGAAACAGGATGTTGCAGGATAACTCCAAAAATAAAAGTTTCCAAATTCAAGAAAGATATAAGGTGTGTGCTTTTCCTAAATGATGAGTTGGGGCATAGGCACATGGAGCTGAGCAATCCCTCAATACTGTTACAGAAATAGGCACTGAGGAAAGCAGGATATTCAAAATTGTGGGCTCAGTGCTTTGGACTTCCCATATTAAATGCTGAAACAGTATGGAAAAAGTGTTCTTCTGGAGGTGCAGCGGGAGTGGTAAAGTTTAACATTTCATAAACCTTTAGGCAACTCAGGGTCCACACAAGCTGGGAGGCTCTACACAACAAATGAGTTGATGGGGTCATGGTGCTCCAGGGCAAAACATTTCTCCCCAGATCCTGCTGAACAGCCTGCAGTTGCAGGAGCTGCTGTCTCATATGGGAGGCAAAATTGATTCCTTCTCTTGCATTAGAGAGAGCTTTCCTCACTCATGCTGTGAAGCATACTGACTGTTAGTGTGGCCTGCACCTTGTCTTTTTGGGTAGTTGCTGCTCCAGACGCAGAATTTTGTAGGACTTAGCAAGTGTAATTCCTTAACCACTTCCTGTGAGAGAGCAGCTTACTCCTTGTATCTCATCACTGGGAATAGAGAAGGGATTTGTCCAGGGTTTCTGGAGATGTCAACAGGCGGCTGCCTGGGTGCTGCTCTGTGCCAAGACACAGCAGTGTGACAGTGCTGCACCGGGGAATACCGACACACAGACCAAGGAATGCGGTGATGGGGGAATGTCGTTGCCTTGTTACAGCCCACGTAAGTGTGTAGAAGCCAGACTTCAAGTTTATCTTGCTCTAGTCTGCTGCCTTTTTCCTCTTTGGACTGCCTTGAAGACTGACAGTGAGAAAAAACTGGGAGAGAAGCAACCTCAGTTATAAGTGGTGAAAGAGTTTAATGAGAGAGAGTCACCCCCAGCTCTGTGAACTGGTAGGAGACGGCTGTGTCAGAATCATGCAGAAGCTTGTGAGAGCTGTGACTGTGGCACACCTTCCCAGATGCTTCAGTCTTCAGTGCTGTCACCACTTGTCCCCCACACCCCATAAAAGCTGATAAACTGGATCAATAGAAGCTTGGGTTCAGGCGTCTTGTTGGTTGGATTCAGCATAGCAAAGGAAAAGTGATGGAGCCAGAGCACAGCTGCTCTTCAGAGCATTTGCAGTATCACAGGCATCTGGCTGTCACATCAGCTGCATCTGTTGAGCTGACGTGAGGACAACGTGAACACTGAATGTGCAGGAGTGTGCACGTGGGAGGACAGAGAGCATGGGGATGCAGTGAGGCCGCTTTGTAAGATGTGATGTCACCCTGTGCACAGATCTGCAGAAATTAGGAGCTAGAGCTGCTGGCTATGGCATGGAAGATTATTCAAAAACATTAAAATTCTTCACTCAGTGTGTGATGCAAGGCAGCCTGTAGTCTTGCTGTTAAGTTTGTGGCCAGTGACTGTGGAGTCATGAAGATTTCAAAAACCTCTTGACATTAAGCTTTCTGGAATTTTCTTTGCTTTCATGGATTGAAACAGATGTAGTCTCATGAGCTTAGCTGCATAGCACAAGAGCCATTTATTTGCTAGTTTGGATTTTTTTCTTAGATAATGTTGAGATTCTGTTTCTGGAGTGATGAAAACAATTCCTGGCTTTGCTTTTTCAAATGGAATATAGCTTTTCAGAATCTGCTGGATTATTATTAAACCAATAACTGCATATGATAATAATGACAGAAATTAATAACAGTAGTATATAAATTATATACTTTTAGAATATGTCCTGAAGCTTTTTGTCAGTATATCAAATGTTCTTACTTGGGTGTTTGCTATTTTGCCTTCCAATTAAAGTAAAAGTAAGATACTATGAGAGTAATGATTTGTCATTCCAACTGGAATTAGTCACTGGTCATCAAGATGCTAATCAAATGATATGTTTCTAAAGAATTAACCTGATTTTACTAATATGTAAGGATACTTTCCAAGTCTACCAAATGCTTTGACAAATTCTAAAGCTTTGTTTGAAATGGATTCGTGTGACCCGACTTCAGGCACTCTGGTAGTCAGGTGTCTAGCCTAGCTCAGTCACCCAGGCTGTTCCTGCAGTCAGTGGAGAAGGATGTGTTACCAGAAGATATCCCCACTCTGCCTTATCTCAGACCTCTTTTGTATGAGGGCTCAGATCACTGTCAGGGTGCCCATCTCTCCCCATGGACTCAGTTTCAGGAGACATGTAAGTCTGACAGCTAAATCAGTAGTCCCATGTTGCTAGGACAAGCTCCTTGTCCCAGAGTGAGCAATGGTTCCCCTGGGTCAGGACAGCTGCTGGAAAGGCCGCTGTGATCCCATTGCATTGGTGAGTTGTTTCCTGTGACATGGGGCTCAGGCACAGAAATGAAACACAATAAAACCACTTTAGAACAGATACTCACAAGGTAGCCCAGAACAGGGGGGCAGAGTAGGCATGGAGGGAGGTAGATTTGCAGCTCTGCTGCCAGTCCCCTGGGAAATTAAACCTCAAGATCTGTTGTGGATACCTCAGAAGTGCTCAAAATCAGGTTGGATTGGTATCTGAGCAATTTGGTTTAGTGGAAAGTGTCGCTGTCCGTGGCCCAAGGGTTTGCAACTATCTGGTCTTTAAGGTCTCTTCCAACACGAAGCATTGTGTGAGTCTCTAATTTACCCATTTATTGAGTATGATGTCTGAGCCTGTGGCACTGATTTGGTACTTTTGGTTGTCTCAAGCCGTCCTGCTTTCTCGGCTTTACAAGTGGTCCGGCAGCAGCGCTGCTACAAAGCTGAAGCTTGGGGCCCCTCCAGTGCCGCAGGTGCGGGGCCAGCTCGTTCCCGGGAGTTCCCTTTCCCGGGGAGCTGGGGCACCGGGCAGCACGGCGGCTCCACAGGTACAGACATCCAGGCCGCCACGGCCGCTCCGGGACGCTCGGGAAGGCGGCAGCTCCCGGGAGCCCGTGCCGGGGGCAGCCCGCGGGTGGGGTTCCCGGAGCGGCGGGGGCGGTGCGGGGCTGCGGCGGGGCTCGGCAGCGCCCGCCCCCTCGGTGCCGCCCGGCCCCGCCCGGCCGCGACCGCCGTGCCCCTCCCGGGGCAGGGGCAGGCGGAGCGGGGCGGGGGGGACCGGAGCCAGCGAGGCGTGATCGCCCGAGGCCCCTCCTGCCCGCCGGGGAAGCCTTAAAGCAGGCCGGCGAAGCGCGGAGCCCCGCACTCGGGAGCCCCGACGCACGGGCAGCCGAGCCCAGCCCAGCCCAGCCCAGCCCAGAGCCGCTCCGCTGCTGCCGCCGCCGTGAGTGCCGCGACGGGGCGGGAGCGGGATGGGGACGGGAATGGGCACAGCGATGGGGACGGGGGGCTCTCCGGGCCGGTCAGGGGCTGCACCGGGGCGGCCGCGCTGCTCCCGCCTTCGGGGCAGGTGCTGACGGCAGCTCTCGTCCATCCCGCCCCGCCGTGCAGATGCAGGGCACCGTGAGGCTGTGGGTGTCGGTGCTGACTTTCGCCCTGTCGCTGCTGGTCTGCCTGGGGACGCTGGCAGAGGCGTACCCCTCCAAACCGGACAGCCCCGGCGAGGACGCCCCCGCAGAGGACATGGCCAGATACTACTCGGCGCTGAGGCACTACATCAACCTCATCACCCGGCAGAGGTAGGCAGGGCGGGACGGCAGACATCTCCCTTTCCCGATCCCCGGGCGGACTTTAACCTTGGCGAGGCTCAGGGGGGGAAGGTGGGGTGCCCCCTCACACTGGGTGTCTCTCGTTGCTTACCCCAAGGACACGGAGAAAGACGTGGTGCAGATTCCTTTTTAGAGAGCAGTGCCCCGAAACCCTGAGTTACCGACGGGTCCGGAGCTGAATTTCCACCACCGAAGTTGGCAGAAGGGGCAGGGGTGTCAATGCTGCCTCTGCTGTCTCAGCCTCTTCTAGCTCTGGCCCAGACAGGAGCATGAGCAGGGCAGCGTGCACAGGGAGACCCCCCAAAAGGGAAAGAAAACTAACCTGGCAGCTGGAGAGAGCTGGACAGGGCACTAGGGACAGTTTCCCACTTCTGTTACTGCCACTGAGTCCAGTGAAGATTTTGGTGAGAAAAAGTGCCTGTTGTGGAGATGTAGTCGTCCAGGATACTGGACTGCTGGTTTGTAGGCTACTTCAAGCACCTGTGAGTGCCAAAAATCCCATTGTCCTAACAAAAACCTCTCGCATGATCGAGAACGCAAGCCCAATCTGAAAGATAAAAGAGCATGAACACAGGACTAGCTGGCTCTAAACTGGCTTTCTGGGATGACTGTGCTTGTTAATGTACAGGTAAAGGCTCAGTCTGAAAAAAAATGGCAAGTTATTATAAAAAATCATCTTTGATAAAAAAAATCATCTGTCCACTTAGGCTGTGTAATTGATAGAAATTTCTGCCAAGGTCCCAAAACAGTGTGTAACCCAGAAGAGCTTTGACATATTTATCTATTTGTTTAGTATAAAGACCAGATTAGAGATCTAAAATTAGGCTTTCATTTGTCCCTCTAGAAATCTGAAGAATTAAATTAGAAGGGTGGCTATCATGCAACTGAGAGCTTTCTCAGCAAGCCCCTTACACTGTCTGCCCCTGCCCTAAGAGCGTAAGACGGATGAAGGGGCTGATAGAAGTACAGTTCTTCAGTCCTTAACTTTTAAAGCAATGTGCACAGCTGGTTCACATGTGAGGCATGCTTCTGTGTGGCAGTCTGTGCTCAAACAACCTTTTGTCTAGATTATTGCTAAAATAATCCAATCCTCAAATTCTGCCTTTGCTGTCATTTTCTCTTGCATGTGGTGGGATCTCCAGGCAGGTGTCTCATCCATTCTTTTCTTTCTTTCATCTCCCTTTTAAATGCTGGCTCCTGTCCAAAGCCAGGTCATATTTAAAAACTAAAAAACCCGAATCCAAACCCAACCAAACAGTCCTCCCTTCTCTGTTCAGCCTCCACTTCTGGTACCCTATGTTCTTGCTTTAATTTTGACTGTGTAGCTTTTATCCTGAGTTTGAGTTGTAAGTATACAACTCAGACACTGAAATCAGTCTCATGCTTTTGTGTGGATTTGGCGTCTGAAATGAACTGAAATAGTTATTGTTTCTGGTGGATAAAGTTTAAATTTTGTTCCTTATATTTTCTTCATATTTCCTACTTACCCTTGTATTTAAAGGAACAGAGTGAATGGAAGTACAAGAAAGTTGGCAGAAAAAAGCACTACAGTGACAACTTTGTGATACACACTTAAAACTTGACTGCACAAGTTAACTAAAAAACCAAAAAGGTGTGCTCTTTCCACTGTGGTGATTTAAAAGTCCAGAGATAAAGAAATTGCCACCTCCATTTGGAAAGCTTAACTGAGCTCCTGGAGGTTTCATGTTTTGGCAGTGATGCAGTCGCTTGCAAAATGAATCAATAACTTTTGAAGCATTTTGGAGCAGTCTAAGGATGATTGGTCTATTTCAGCAGATGTGCTTAAAGTTTTCTCTCTTCTTACAGATTTTTATCTCTGCTTTTTGTGCATGGTACTGCTTGGGAGCCCTGTGACAGAGGGAAGATGAGGTCCAGGGGCTCACCTTGCTCCTTCTGTGGGTGGGTGAGCAAGCTGCACTCAGCATCTCACCGGACCTGGTGCCTGTAGCTGGTGAGGTGAAGCACTAAGAACATGTTGGCAAAGGAGGAGATGAGGAAATTGATGTTGTTTTTTTCCTTCAGGTTCATCTGCCCTTTTTTCTTTAGGTTCATCTGCCCTGCCTTATTTGTTGTTTTTGTGATTATGAATACCAGCATACCCCACCACCCCCAGCTCCTGGCTCATCTTTCTGCCTTCTGCTTCTGGTCTGACTCAAGCATTTGAGTGCCATTCCCCTCTGAGCTACTGTGACACACAGGGTCTTCACCTGAGCTCAATGAGCTTCTTCCTCCCAGACCACCCTCCTGTTCTTGTATTTAGACCTTGTCCATCTGGCTGTTTGCTCCCTCTCTCCTTTGAAATTCTTTTTCAGATCCATCTCAGCTTTAGACACCAGTGCCTGTCAGCTTTAACAGCCCTTTGAGGTTACCTGAGGTAAATGGGTGCAGGTCATGAGACCTGTTTCAGGCTTCTTGTTTCTGATGAGATCACTTATGAGATTCCTTATATGCCAGGTCATTATAACCCAAAAGAGAGCCCACCATAGATGCAGACTCCTGCTCTACAGATGTTTCTTTGGATTAATTCCACCCTCATTTCCTGAACTGTTCTGTGGTCCTTGCCTCATGCCTCTCTACCACACTGTTCAGGAGGCTTTTCTCAGAGTCCATCTTTACTTGAATCATTCCTCCTCCTCCTCCTGCCACCTGTGCTCCCTCTTGCTAACAGATTATCTTCTCTCCTTGCCACTTGTAGCTTCTCCATGTATCTGTAGATCTTCTGTGCTGTAGCAAAGCAGTCAGGCCATTCCTGCTGTAAATGGCCTGAAATGGAACGGCAGGGCAGAGAGTATATTAAAGTGTGCATGACTTGGGCAGTGCTGATGCTCCCTCTTCATGTCAACACACTTCAATGGGCAAGGGAGCAGATCTCCCTTTGCTTTGGTTTCCTGATGATTTTCTGAATCAGACCCACAGATGCTTCTGAGACAACTCAGCAGGTGTTGCCAGCTTTGGACATTGATGGTATTTGAGTCCTAACACCAAGTTTTCCATAGAAAGCTTCGAGATTTTGCTGAGCCTGACATAGTGTGTCCTTATTCAGAATAAGTATGTTTATGCCTTAAATCTCTTTGACTTCAGCTGGAACTGTGGCTTATCAACATCAGCATGCCCCAAAGTAGGCCTTGATATCTCAAATGGAGTAAAAAAAACTGACCAGGTGTTTTCACCTTGTATTTCTAAGTCTTTTAAAACAGCCATGATTTTTTGATAAATGTGTATCTCAGAGCAAGGAGCAAGGCACAAAGCAGCTGGAGCAAAGATGTCTCAAGGCATCTGCATCAGGAAAAAGTGATTGACTCTGTCTGTGACCCCTATTTTGTGTCAGTAGCATGGATGTTTCCCAGGGGCAAAATGACAGGGCAGGCAGGAGACTGACACAGGAAGAATGGGTGTTCTCTGGGCAGCCCAGTTGGTTGCAGTCAGTGAACACCTTGTGTGCAGCTTTGCTGTTTGGGGTACACCAGGTGGGTACATCCAGCACAGGTAGTGGCAGGGAGTAGCCAAGACGCTGAAAGAACTCATATATCTCCCCAACATAGTGTTCCTCATTATTTGAGCGAATCTCCGCACTCTGGGTAGTTCCTACCTATTTCTTATTCAGGCAAAACTTCCTGAGAGATTAGTGGGAGTTTTGTCCAAGCGTGAGGTGCTAGAGCAAGTTTTGATTTGTTAAATCAGTTTCTTTAACATAAAAGAAAATTGGCTTCCTCCTCAGTTGAAGTCCAGGTCACATCCATACTAATCAGAGCAGGGAACTAGAAAGGAAGAAATCCCTTTGTGGTGATGGAGTGCAAGGTATTTGATTCAGTATCACGCCTGATTACGCTATTGTAATAGCATTTTACTGTGTCGGCTGGTTCTTTTCAAATACCTGCTTTCAGTCAGCTCAGATTAAGAAATTTTACTTTCTGGAATGGATGCTTTGTCTTTCTAGAGCACTTTTAATCACTAAAATGATTAAAGCAATGTAAAAATACAAAGGGTAGAAGAAAAATATTGAAAAGTAAGATATGTTTAAGGAAGTTATCAACAGTTAAAACTGTTAATTTTTTAAATGTACTTTGGGAAGGTTTTGGTTTTTGGTGGTTTTTTTTGCTGATCTAAACCACAGGAATGACTGGGGTCACTGCAGAAATATCATTATAGTTATGGATAAAATGTAAGTCCTTAACTACACCTTTGTTTTTTTCTGAAATCAGAATTTCCTTCAAGCAGCATTCACCAAAGCTACTAATGTACTTTGTGATTCAGAATGAAATTGCATACACAAGTTACACAGTGATCTTAATTCTTTCCAACCAAGGGAGCGTTTGCTCTTAGTTATCACTTTTAGGCTAACAAATCCTTGTAGTGATGAAATGCCTGTCAAGCAGGCTGCTCATTGCCACATCTATTTTCCCAGGAAAAGAGATGGAATTCTTTCCCAAGTAATGGAAGTTTCAGTACTTTTAACTGTTGGGTGATGTACTGTATTCAGGATTAACAAAACAAACAAACAAAAAGACAAAGAAGAATAGAAAGCCAGCTGCTGTGTAAATACAGGACAAAGGTAGCCCCTGATATCCTGTCTAGTTGAAGAAGAACTCTGAAAGAGCAAGTTCTTATTCTCATAGCCACATAGTCCAAGATGTTTACCTTGGGATAGCTCAGTGGTTACAAACTAATGTTCTATGTGTTGGGCAGCCCCAAATGTACTGGCTATTTTAAAAAATCTTGCAAAATTTCTGGTGAAAGATAAGTATCATCTAAACCAACGAGAAAGTTCGTGGGATGATGGAACTGGCTTTGCAGGCAAGAACGACGTGCTTGGAAGTCACATCATGCACAGCTTCTTCCCTCTTCTTCTATGCTCTCATCAGTAAGGTGCAAAGTCCTGGAATATCCAGGAGCAGCCATCAAATTGAGAAATATTCAGGGTTTCTCAATATTATAATGTAAAATAATTACAGAAAAATGTAGAAAAATACGGAAATAAAATAAGAATCAATTTAATTAATTAATTTGCTCACATGGCTAAGCCAAATTAAAATTCTTGCTGGAAAGCGGTATTTATGTCTGCTCATTTTTTCTGAAAAAAAAATCACTAATGGTTCTGTGCTCAATCTTCATTTGTAAAAAGTGACATATACAAAAATATACCTTTAAAATTTTTTTTCTCAGATACGGAAAGAGATCAAGCCCAGATACACTGATCTCAGACCTCTTGTTGAGGGAAAGCACAGAAAACATTCCTAGATCCAGGTATGTATGAAGAGCTCATTTGGATTTAACTATCTCATTTGTTAACAATAAATATGTTTCATAGGGAGAAAGCGTGCCACCAACAGCTGGTTAATCATATCCTTAAAAAAATCTTTAATTCCATATTTTTTTAAGAGCTAGCACAATCTATGAATGCAAGAAGTGCCTTATCAGGTATGATATAATCCAAACTCTTTTTGATTTTGGGAGCAGGCCATACCTTTGGTCTTGTATATACCAATTGTATTCAGAGGAAGGGGACGCACTCCCATGACACTTGCACCATTCTGGGCATTTTTACATAGAACTATATGCTGATGTTTGATGATGATTCCTTACATATTAGAGCTCTAAAGATGGCATATTGCTACTCATCTGCTGCTCACACAGGTTTAAATGTTTCCTCTAAAGATGCATAAGTGGTAAATATGCACCTACATTAACTCATACACAAATGCACAGCAGTGAGTTGTCTTTTAAAACACAGTATTTCTCATCGGTTTTGTATCTAATATTTTACAAAGGGAAAGAAGGCCTTCATATTTCCATTTGTACTTGCTAAAGTAATAGCGGTGTTTCGAACAACACCGGGGTTTCAAATGTACATAGTGTATTTATCTATTTCATCTATTTGTCTATCTATTTAGCCATAATCTAAGATACTGCAGTGCTGACTGCAGTTTACACAGCTGAAAATTAAGTATGTTGAAAAGGTAAGATGCAGGGGGTGTTTTGGTTCATGAAGGAAAATACTGGTTTTACCCACAATCTAGCATGAATGAGTTTAAGCCTTTACTGATTATCTGAAGTTTGCTGACAATACTTCTACTGCAAAAATAAATGTTTTATGCAGTTGTCTTCTCAGGAGTCTACAAGCAAGTGATCTGCAAAGGCTCAACTAGACTACTTGAGTACTTAAACATAATAGCCTGTAGCACTGAATTTAGGGCATGATCATGACACTGAAAGGTGACCCAGAATTCCCACTGCCATCCCGGGAGGTTGCCCATGAGACCTGCAGTTCTGCGCATAGGGAGGGCGTTGTCTGATGGTTTGATGACTAACCACAGCTGTGGGGATGCAATTTTCTCTGCAGATGCTTATCTGAAAAACTGCATGGAGTGCAGTGAAATGTATTAGACTATTTTGTAGACTATTTTGTTTGGTAATGACAAGGGAGAGCCCTGACATAATGGGAAATTTCCACTGTCTTGAATTTGAGGCAACACACAGGGTAGTTAGTACTCATACTCTCCAATATATCTCCCTAATAGTCTAATACTCTCTGTAATTTTCACCCCTTCATCACAAAAGTTTATGATTATTATTACTGTTTCAATAATGCTATTTATAACACACCAGGGAGCAAAGATTCATGAGCAAAATAACCAACTAGTCTGCAGTTAAGATCAAGAATTGATGAGAAGCAGATTTTTATTTCATGCCCCCTGTAACAGCACTTTAAACGGAGTATGGTATTTTTCACTCATCACTGACAGTTATGGGAGTACTGGGAGCAATGATGCCTGGTTTCCTATGGATATGTTTTCTAGGATAAAACTCTCTGTGGATTCTGAAGCCCACTCCAACTTTTTCCTCTGTGTGAGGACGCAATTAAATTTTCTTTCTATCCAGTCCTACGTTTCATGGCACATTGGGAGCTAAATACCTCTAAAATGGGTGTACCTCTTTGTGACTTGGTTGAAATTGTCTGAAGGGTGTGAAAGCTGCGGGGGAAGTTAGGAGAGGCACACAGGGTTGGACAGCTGGACACACAGCACAGCTGCCTAAACTTTCCTCCTGGAGGAAGCCAGGCTGAATGAATGAAAGGCAGGCTGCTATTAGTCCAACCTTAAATTAAGTATATGTTTTAGAAATAGTTGCACGAAAAGCTAGTTATGGAGCAGATATGCACTCAGTGAATCAGCGACAGAGAGAGATACCTCATGAGTTCTCGGGAACTGAACTTTGTAACTAAACACTGAGATAATGATAAATAACTTAATTGTATTCAGCTTGACAGGCCTGGTTTGACATTTCACTTTTGCTGACTAAAATATGCCCCAAAGGATGTTGTAGTCTGGGTGTATGTCTGACCATATGAAGAAAGTTTAGAGAGATTATTTTAGAAACTAATTACAAAATAGGAAGTTAAAGATTTAAAAAAAAAAGGGGGTGCCTTGACCTGAGTACAAGTAAGTTCTTATGACAGAAATATGTGATATGGCCTGTTTCTGATTTTGTCTGTCTTGTGGAGTGATAAGAAAATGTTTAGTACTCAGTAATAAGATGTATATCTCCTCATGCTCCCTCTTTAAAAATTAGATATCTAGTATGAAATATTTTTCTAGGTTGCCTCTACAGTCAATCAGAGGGATGGGCAACTCCAGAATGAGCTTTCCTTCCTAAAATGGGCAGGGTCTCAGTTGCCCTGTAAGGTGTCCATGTCTCTCCAGTGTCTGTGGAAGCAGATTAGACATTTAATCAAGACTTGGTGTGCTACTTTTAGATGGGAAAAATTATGGTGAATGCATTTCTCCCAGTCTTTTTCCATGTTCTCCTACTTACCTTTCCTTCTGTGTAGACAAAATATCAGTTTGCAAGCAGAGGATCTCTCAATAAAATCCTGCCTTCAGCACACCTTTCAATACATTTCAAATGCTTGATATTGAGGAGTGGAATACCACACTAATATTTTAGGATGGTGGTTTTGAATTTGGGTTTTGTTCGAAGGTGCTTACAGCATGATGTGATTTTGTTTGGCTCAGTGAGTTCTCTTTGGAAGTTGTTTACTCCTGAGTTAGAGTGAAAAATGTATCTTTAAGAAATTTTTATTTCAACATATCATAGTTCTCTAACTTAATTTCACTAAGTGCCATTTCATGGTGTAAGGCAGCTTTGTAGCTCAACTGTGTAAAACGTGGCACCAGGGTAGCAGGATGTACAGGCAAGTTCTGGCACCAAAGTACAGATTTTTGGAAATTCATAAATCATCTGTTTTTGTTGGAGTCACATATACAATCTTCAACTGCAAATATGCATATATATTTCTCATTGCTGCTATTAAGGAATGTTTTAGGCAGTTTTAACATCAAATTTTTTCAGAGGGGGCTTTAATATGTGCTTAATGTGGTTTTTTTAATTCATAATATGTGTTGCAGGTTTGAAGACCCTTCGATGTGGTGATGGGATTTTCAGCACACCTTCAAAACTTTTCCTAGTTTTCGGTTCATACTCCACATCTTGGAAGCAAATCATAGCGTCATTCCCAGTGCATGCAGCCATTGTACTGAATTCTGTAGAGTTTCTCTCCTTCACCATATTTGTATATACCTTTATTTAAATAAATTATTTGTGCATTCCAAAATGTAACATACTAAAAGAAAACAAACAACCATGTCATTGGTATGACAAAGCATTGTTTTAAACTATTAAAAGTGAATTATAACTTCCCTGTAGTGTGGACAACAATGGTGTCATAGTTATTTAAAGTAATTACTGTGCAAAGTAAGATAAAGATATCATTTATTGTGGCCTCAGACTCAGCTGAAAACTGTTTAAAATAATTGATCACAGACTGCATAACTTAGGAAAAACAGTGTTTGGAGAGATTTTTCAGAATGGTCCTCCTAAAAACTTACTTAGTGCTTACATTGACAAATGTAATAAAATTAATGCCATTTTTGAAATGCAAAGGAATAAGTCACTGCTTGATTCTGCTAACTCCTTGAAATTGGTTTGGTGTTTGGCTGTAAGCCTGAGCTAGTAATTTTAAATGAAACAGATGTAACTTCTTTGTTTTGGCAATATGCAAAATAGCAGAAAATAACATCTAAAGTAACTCATAAAACAAGACAAAGCTGCAATTATTTGTGCCAGAAAAGAGACATCTAACATTGCCTAAGGCCTTGTAAAGGAGCACAGTGATAAATCCTAATCCTTGGGCTCAAATCGGTGTCTCTCATTTGGAGTTATTAACAGTTTCTGTTTGTACCATAAGGAGATCCACAGAACGGGGACAAGGAGAACTCCCTCCAGGTTTACATTTTCTTATTTTTGGATTATATAGGTTTATTCACTAGGCTAATGGAGGTCTTAGACACATTTGAAGTTTTTACTCAAAGCAGTGTAAGAATGGCAGCATTTTCCCCTTGTTCTTAAGTGGTTCTAGTTCACAGACGTGTATCTTGCTGTATGGTCAGGACTCAGACTGGGCATGACACAGATGCTGGTCTCTGGTTCCTGATACAACACTTTTCTTTAGACACTGTGACTAAACAATGCATAATAAATACGCACATAAAGAAGTTCCAAACTGGAGAAGAATCAGTGTGAAGGTTTAATCTATTTTGATGTCCTTCCCAATTTTCAAATGCTTTCACATAGCTGTTGCCCCCAGGAGAGATGCATCAGTGGAACCAAGTTCCAGGTTTCTATAAATGCGTTTGCAAAGTGTTACCAGCTTACCAGGACTGTTCAGCTTTTGTGGTCACAGTGTCTTCAGCAAAGCACAACATAATTTTCATAAAACACTCGGGTGTCCCTGGAATTGGCAAATTTAGCTTTCAGCAGCAACACATTAACTTACAGGCTTTGTGATGGTTCTATAGTGCTAGTTGTGGAATTGTGACAATTAATAACAATCTAGAGTCACAAAAATGTTTGAGGCCCCCAGGGTGTACTAGTTCAAAAACAAGCCAGTGGGAAATTCCCAGTCAGACCTACAATTTAATAGGAAAATTAAGATAAAGGCAATAGTACAGAAACACTGACTTAAACCGACAGAGTCAGAATACAATCAAGGTGTCAATCAGACACCTTGTGATGGCAGCAGTCTGATTAAATGGTGGCTACAGTCCCATTGGAGTGATGGAAGTGGTTTTGTTGAAGTAGTGATCCTGTAGAAAGATCTGATCTTTCTCTGGAAGTCCAGTGGTGGGTATCAAGCTCTTGTCCTCTGGGAATCCAGTGTAAGTGTTCCTGTGGTGTTCCAAGCCTCAGATTATATCCAGGAAGGAATGCTTGGTTCCTTCCCCCTGGGCAGGGCATCTCACAGTGGGATGATGTAATTCTTGAGTCATGCTGGGAGACCTTGATGGCCCATCAGGAGAGATAGCCCTTGGAGGGAGTTATCAGGGATGAATCATGGAAGAGGTTAAGAACACTGCCCCACCTTTTCAAACAACTTATGAGGATGGTCATAGAATGCATACTTTGGTTACAACTTTTCAGGCTAAACCATTGCCACCCACAGCAGTAGGCAATAATTTTCAGAGGGACCTCAGGATGCACCAGTTGCTGGAGTGAGCAGGTGTTCTTCAACCTCAGGCCAGGACCTGCTGCAGCAAATTACATAGAGTACTCTGCTTTGAGTAATTATTAAAATGAAAAGTGAAAGTTATTGAGGTATATGTTACAATATAGTTAATTGCTAATATTTAGTATTTCTCTATATATACTTATGACCATGTAAATTGCAGTATCAGTAATGATAAAAATGATAAATTAATCTTATGTTGCTTGTATTATCATTACAAATGTACCTCAGAGGAGAAAAAGAAAGTTCAAGAATTAGCTCATGCTAAACACTCATGCTGCGTTGTTCCACTCAATTACCTGAGTTTTCCTGAATTTGGAGAATACTCATCTTTATAGAAAAGGTATTACCTCATGAGCTCTCAAAGACAAAAGCAAGGCAAAGCACTCACACAATATTTATTTATTCACTCTGTGGTATTATTTTCTTTCTAAAATCTTCCTCTGTTCTCTGGGGCTGACACAATACTGCCATAGAATTCCAGTGTGCTTAGTTCTTAGCTTCCTTGTGTAATTCATATACCACTCTTGACAGGCCAGGACACTGAAAATATTGTGTCAGCTCTCCAAATCAGAGGATAGACTTAAAAATGAGCTGTGAAATGAAGATAAATACCAGTTTCCTTTGGCACGACTTCTACGTTTTGACTTCAGGGTTAAGATTTTCATATTTTTCTCTCTAACCATGAGTTTCTAAAACAAAGGCTGAAATTTATGTTAGATTCTGAGGAAGTGCCAGGAAAAACAAGATGTAATAACTATAAAAGTAGGTAATAATATTTTCTCCTTTATTTATTGTGGGCTTGAAATCATGAGAAATGTACATAAATAGGTTCAAACATTTAAGACTGTCCACCTTTACCTTTGGCAATTTCTGTAAAATACATCACCATTATGCTCAACTTTGATTTAATCAAAGAGGAGATCTAGATGATCCCACCTATCTTCTCTTCCAGGATAGGAAATTCTCTCTATCTTCTCTCTCTCTGTCCCTACAAGCCTTCCCCACTGCAATGCTTTCAGCCCTGAAATTCTCTGTGCCAAAAGACCCTCCATCATGGTAGTCCAGTATGGGCAGTGCTGCCCAAACATGGCACTGTGCTGAGGTGGGATTTACCTGGTAGCTGGCAAATAAATACCAAGTTTCAGGTGCAGCATCAAGTGTTTTCCATAGTGGTTTGTGTCACCTTCTGGTGCTCCACTGGCCACTCACCTCAGTGCTTAGGGTGAGGTGCCCAGGAGCACTTGGCATATGTGGGAGGGGTATTTTTAAGCTGAACTGACCATTGCTCTGTGTTTCCCATGAGATTACATGTCTTGCCTGCCCACATGACCTTCAGGGGTGCCTGTGTAAATCCAACACCAGACCTTTGCTCCCATTGCCACCCTTGTGTTAGCCGCTAAAAGCTAACAAACATTTTAAAAAAAATTCAGCAAGATGAATCACAAAATCATAGAGTACCAGGCTGAAAGGGAACTTCAAGGATCACCTGATCAAACCTTTCTTGGCAAAAGTATGGTATAGACAAGATGGTCCAGCAGCCTGTCCAGCTGAATGTCATAAATGTGCAACACTGGGGAATCCCCCAGTTCCCTGTGGAGATTCTTCTCATTGTAAAAAATGAGTATCTGATTGTTATTGTGAAAACTTCTCCTCTTGTGTCCAATCAGAATCTCCCCAAGAATAACTTGTACCCATTATCCCTCCTTTCTTTCTTGTGTCTGCTTGTAAAAAAGGGAGTCTTCCTCTTCTTAGCAGCCACACTTTAAATATTGGAGCATGGCGATAGGGTCCTCCAAAGCTGCCTTTTCTCAAGGGTGGACCAACCCTTTTGTCTCAGCCTTTCCTCATATGTCAGGCTGCCCAGTCCTTTGATCATCTTTGTGGACTTCTCTGGACCTCTCCAGCCTGTCCACATCTTTTCTTGTACAGCAGGGACAAGAATTGAACACAGTATTCCAGGTGTGATAAGCACTGAGTTCAGTAAAGAAAATAAAAAGTTTCCTTTTTGGAAGATGGATTTCAGTGAAGGTAGAAAACTAAATGCAAACTAAATGTAATATAACATACAGTAACAAAAAAAATCCCTTCTTGCTTTGTTTTGGTGGGTTAGTACCCTGAGTAGAGAAAGTGCGACTGAGTGGAAATTGCCTAACTAATGCAGTAATTCATATGAGGTCAGTGTATTTTATTTATCTGGCTGTATTGTTATCAGTAATTTATTTATCTGTATTACAGCAGCACCTGGAGACTCCAGATATGGGGCTCATTGTGCTCCAGTCTGTAAGACCATAATAAAAAAAAAAACTAGACTACAGAGATATTCCATCCACGTGCAAAGAGAGAAAGTGGGAGGAAACTCGGGCTCATAAATAAAATGGTTAGTATGTTATAGTGGTCCTACTGCACCTGCAGCCTTGCCCTTGTAGACTCTTGGATAACAGCAATTAAGAATGTGCTTTAAAACAAGTAGTGCAACATTATCTTGTTTCCAGTTAATATGTGTGTTTGCTAAGCTCTCCCTTATCTAAGTTATTTGCTTTTCTCTAATGACCCAGTCATTTCCAGGCCCAGAGACCTTCCAATCTATATTTAGCTACAAGCAGCTCCCACCTGCCTGTAATGATCACCCAGCTCGGGAGATTTCAGATTTCTTTCTTTACCTCATTTTTCTGTGCATTCGATAGGATAGGATAGGATAGGATAGGATAGGATAGGATAGAATAGAACAGAACAGAATAGAAATAGAATAGAATAGAATAGAATAGAATAGAATAGAATAGAATAGAATAGAATAGAATAGAATAGAATAGAATAGAATAGAATAGAATAGAACTGTGGGCTGCCAATGCCCTGCAAGTGTGAGTCTCAAGGTCTCCAAGTTCTAAGGAAATGTGTCTGGTGTCATTCCACCTTTGAAGAAGCAGAATTAATGGGAGCAGGAGAACCACGAGGTGCCCTTGCAGACAGAGCTGGTGGTGCCTAAAACTGAACACAGCTATAACAGGCTTCCCACAGTAACTTTCCCAGTAGGTTGTAAAATGGGAGCGGGGAGCCACGAGGTGCCCTTGCAGATAGAGTCGATGGTGACTAATACTGAGCACAGCTATAACAGCCTTCCCACAGCAACTTTCCCAG